AAAGGGGCATGCTAAATCCCACACTAAAATTTACTAAATCCCACACATAAATTAAAAAAAAAAAAAATTCTCTAACTTTTTTCTATGATGATTTTTTCCATGTCACTCAAAATCCGTTAATCTTTCACGTGAATAATCATAAAAAGTGAGTTTAGGTTTATTATATTTAATATTTTTCAATTTCATTATGTCTTTTTTATTATTTAAATTCATATTAATTCGAATTTTTTTCTCAAATTCCAACTTTATTTTAGTTTGAACACATGAAGATTTTTCTCAAATTCGAACTTGGAATGATATGGACGTTTTTAGTGCGTGGTTTTGTGAAAAAGTTAGGGAAAAAGAAGAAGGGTGGGGAAGGAGAAGATGAGATTTTAGGGAGAAATTTTTTCAATTGTGTGTATGATTTGATAAAATTGGTGTGAGATTTAGCATATCAGTAATTCAAAACGGTGAGAGTGTCAAATTGAAATAGTAGCTATTTAATAATCTTTTACGGTCACCACTAACATAATATCAAATTAAAAAAACGCTTTCCATGTTTGAGTAATTACAACCACATCCCTCTTAACTATAAATTTTCTTACAGTTCCACCATACAGTGTCAAATTTATCTATTGGCTGATGGGTTTTTTTGTCAGAAGTTACATAGTTAATGGGATAGTCGCAATTATTCAAACAAGAGGGATTTTTTCATAATTTGATATAACCTCAAGGGATGGTCGAATTAAGGCAAACATTTGTGAGGACGGACATGTAATTAACTCGTACTATTTATGTAATTAGCCATGGCCAGCGGGTCTTATAATAACCACAGTACATTTATGTGAGGTAAAGAAGGTGAAGAAATTATATTCCATGCAGACTACAAAACCGCGGCGGTTTTCTCTCACACCGCCTCACCCCACCACCACCAAACAAATATAATTTGCAGGCGTACAGTACATTTTGTTTCTTATAATAAATTTATAAGTCAGCCCACAGACTTTTACCCCTCTCCAAACCGCTGGTTTCTCTTTTGTCCGACGAGGCCTTTTTTGTCTTGTAGTAATTTGTTCGGTACCTCTCATTTTAACCGCTACAGTAATATATATGTTTTACGTACATTCCCCCCAGCTATTAAAACCATTTTCCCCTGATTTTCCAACCTTTTTTCTTCTTTTTTTTTTTTTGTTTTTTTTTGTTTTTCTTTATGGGGTTGACTAAATTTGGAAAATTGAAAACGCAGTTGTTTGTACTCTTGCCCTTTCTTCAGACAATCAATTGGAAACCAACAAATTTACATCTGCTGCAACAAAACAAATTTATTAAATAAAAATAATAAAAAAATTAAAAGGTAAAACAAAGACTAGTTCAATCCGGGCAATATTAATTGATTGATATATAATTAATATACATATATGTTTTTCATCTAGAGAAAATCTTTGATCTTGGTGTTTTCTGACTTGTCTTAGTCTGATTATAAGCTGTTCTAACATTAACATATACTACATTATATTATAGTGAATATATAGTAGTGTAATAACACACACACAAATATGTGTTCGTGTGTGTGTGTGTGTTTTTAATGTCAGATATATATACAAGTGTCTTATCAGGGGTGAAAACGAGGCAAATGGATTGTAGATTGGGGGGGTAAAAACCCTAGATTTCATGAAAAAGGTCGCCACCATAAAAAGACGTGTTAATAAACATGTCAACTTCCAACATGCATAACAACAGGGTAAAGAACCCTGCCACGTTTATTTCCCAGCTGATCGATGAAATTTATTATAATATAATTTAATTTAATTCCTAAATTTATTTTAAACAGTGTCGTTTTAATCCACTATTAATTAATTAACTATCCAATAATCGATTACTATGATATGCCTAATTGGGCCAATCCAATGGGCCTACAATTTCTTTACCTACTGGGCTACGAGCCCAATATCGAAGACTAATATCACCGAGGCCCAAACACCTTCAAGTAAGGTTTGGG